AGTACAGAAACATTAAGAAATATTTCCTGTATCTATATAAAGCTATTTGAGTCCAACTTTTACCTTTAATATGCACTGTCATGGACTCTCAGATGGTAAGATTAAATTTAGTTTGTTGATTTTATGGGACATATGAGAACTGTGGTCCTTTTAGTGGTATGTAAGTGAGAATGTAATAATTTGTGTAGCTTTAGCATTATTCTATTAGTGAGGGTTTATCATTAGAGACAATATTTATGGTAACATTTGCTAATTTAATTAATTGCTACTGATGTTCTCCTAATTTCATTTGCATTGTACTTCTGTGGAGCCATAAACAAAAGGTTAAGTGGCACATCAGGGTAATTTGATGTTTCCATCTGTGATCCTAGATTCAACACAAAGCATAAATAAAATGGCTCTCATATGGTTACGGCCCAAAGGCGTTGCTGTCTCTCAGAGTGAACTGTTTTAATTTCTGTACTTCTGAAAATCCACTTAATCCATAGAACATTACACTGACGTGGATCTCCGAGGTTTTATGAAAACAAATTAGGTCAGCTCAGAGGGGCAAACTGCCATACTAAGAAGTGATCAGACAAGGGTGTAATTGAAAAATCAGGGATAAAGTATTTATTTAAAATAAAAAGATTTTATAAGATGTCTCATTTATCAGCACCTGCAGATCAGACTTTTAAAGTCATTCTAGTCTGGAAATAAAATTCCTCAACAGGAATACGGAAATAACCCTTTCTAAATGAGTGCACACTGAACTCGAAAACATAGCGTTTACCACTATATATTTCTTTTTCTGAATTACCTGTTGCACACTGTTTGTAGAAGGAGCAGCTTAATATTGTCAATATTGCACTATACATTAGCTGTTTTACCTTTTTTTTTCCCTGATCCTCACAGACTGTGTATGCTAGAATGATACGAAGGAGCCTTTTACACCCCAAACAATGAAATCATTTTAAAAACTATATGCAGACAGGACTTCCGATTGGAATAGTTTTCTTGGAATCAGTATAACATGCACAGGCTCCGTAGCCTACACATTAACATCTAAACTAATTTGAATGTATTCCCTGCTTCTTCATGCAGTTGTGATTTCTGGATATTTAAAGAGGTGAGTGTTTTTATACAAATTTCTGTTCAAAAAGGGAGTCTACTCCATGGTAATTGGTGCCTCTAAAAACAGTCTCTTTAGCCCGATAATATTTTCCATAGCTAACCTTTGAAGAGAGCCAATTTGTAAATAAAGGGGTGCCTCTGGCTGCCTGCTAAGGGGCTGTCCATAAGGCATTTTGTTACAGTGACACAAGAGCTCTATTTTGGTACAATGAGTCATGCCCTTTCTAACCATTTACCTGTAACTATCCCACTGCTCTATGAATAATTATATTTATCTCAATATTATTTTCGTGCATAATAACTATAATAAACAGCCCTGTCAGTGCCTCCTGGTGGCCATTTTTCCCCTTTTTGTTCTATATGTCCTAAAAGTCCCCTTAAGCTATGTGTAGAAAAAAAGGAGCGACAAGATTTGTCCTTTTTTCTTATACTTTCAGGACATGTGTCTTGCACTTTTGGAAGAATTCTGACACTGGATGAAGTCTTTGGAAAAAAAATTCTGCTTTAATCGTGCTTTACAGAACCTGAGTTATAGCTAACAAGGTCTGAATTTCCAGGGGAAATTGCTCCGAAAGCCCAACACCTCTTAAGTCAAAGTAGTTGCAGGAGATGAAGCTTCTTGATGGCGGTGGCCAGGGGTCACGGGGCACCTGCGGCTTAATTCGTGGCCCTTAGCCACCCAGGACACAAAGTTAAAGCCCAGGAACTCAGCCCAGACCACAGGCCGCAAGGCCTCACCCGAGCGGTGGCTACTTCTGCCCGCACAGAGATCCGATTACACTTTTAGGTAGTTACAAATATTATTTTCGTCCTTTAAGAGATCACCTTTAAGAGATCAGGCGCGCTTTGGTTTTTTTGAGGAGCACGAATTTCTCCAGCAAACAGTCGAGTGGCCTCAGCGGAACACTGCAGACCCGTGGCCCTAGGGGCAGCGCTGACCCGGGGCTAATCTGCGGCTGTTTCACAGCCAAATCCAAAGCCAAGGCCACGTGTAAACAAAACGGCTGGGGTAGGAAAGACTTTCCGACAGGCGCTCCGGAGCTGGGCTCCCAGCGGTCGCCCTCCGCCCACCTGCCTGTGCATCCTCCTACTCTAATCAGTTCAGTTTGGGATCTGTGTTTCGGTGCGTGCTGTGAATTCCAGGGTATACCCTGACTCTCAACTTTTCCCTTTGTGATCAGTGCTCTTCGTCTCTCCCTTTCTTCTTCCGCAGAAAACCTAACCCGAGTTTTCATTGTGAAACTGGCTGGAGTTTCACAGCCTGGGACGCTCCATGAGCGCTGCAATGAAGGGCTCTCACGGTCCCGCTGCCACCCTGGAGGTGCTGGGTTTGGACTCACTTCGAATCTTTTTCCTGAGTCCTTGTCTATCTCCCCCGAGTTTGTCAGCGCGGCACGCCCATTCTGGGCTCCTACCACTCTATTCCCGAGAAATCCTGTAAGGGACCTTAAGTGGCTGAGGATCTCTAGGCCGAGGGCTCGCTTCCTGCTCCAGGACCCCCCACAGCGACTTCCAGTCCCTCTGGGGTCGTGTTCACAGGCGCGCGCACGGAGCGCGGGTGCCAGACTCCAGAACCGCCCTCTGCATGCTGTGGGGCGCCCTGCTCGGCTCCCGCCCCCCGCCTCTCCACGGTGAAACGCGGATCCCCCTCGCAGTCGCTCTCAGGGCTGGGCTAGCTCACGGTTCCTCCGCCGGCTCCCACCTCCATTTCCAGGGTCTCCTCCCTCTAACCCTCCCCTCTGCTTGCACGCGCTCACCTGGTTGTTTTTACAGAGATCAGCCCACATGCTGGTGCCGTCCCCTCCGCGCATCAGGACGTGGTAGGTGAAGAAGTAGATGCCGGGGATGGAGCAGGTGAACTTTCCCGTGGTGGGGTCGTAGTGGTTTCCGAGGTTGGTGACCACGTCGTCGAACTTGAGCACCTCGTAGCCTTCGTGCTGCCGCTTGAGGCCGGCGTAGAAGGCGATCTTGGGCACCGTGCTGTAGGTGGCGGCGCTGATGGCCCCAGCTGCGTTCAGGCCGGGCGCCCCCGGCGGGCCCGGCAGGCCTTGGCGGCCGGGCTCGCCCT